CCTGCAACACCTGTAGCATCATCCTCAAGTGCTCCCAGTGCTCCTCCTCTGTCCTGTTGTAAACTAGAATGTCGTCAAAGAACACCAAGACAAATCGCCTGAGATAAGGTATGAAGACCTTGTTCATGAGTGACTGGAATGTGATTGGTGCGTTAGTAAGGCCAAAAGGCATCACTAGGAACTCATAATGCTCTTTGTGAGTTCTGACAACAATCTTGGGCACATCTTCCTTCTTCATTCTGATCTGAGATATCATGATTTCAGGTGAAGATTACTGCCCCACTCGGCTCATCCAACAACTCATCAATCACTGTTATAAGAAACTTATCTAGCACAGTCTCCTTATTTAACGCCATGTTGTTCATACAAAACCTCCAGCTGACAACTTTTTTCTTAACCAAAAATACTTTACTAGAAAACGGACTAACACTGGCCTCATAATTTCTGCCTCTACCATTTCTCTAATCAACTTCTCAATCTCATCTTTCTGAAATTGAGGATTGTGCTATGTCCTGACGCTGATGGGTGAAACACCTTCCCTCAAGGTGATAGCATGCACCTGCTCCCTTAGTGGTGGCAATCCCTAAGATGGCTGAAAAACTTCATTGAATTTCTGAATCAGTGGTCGTACTAAGAGAGGTATGTCCCCTCCCTCCTGTAATCTAACTCCCTCTAGTCTGTACAGCTCCACCAGAAAACCTTTCCCAACCTCCTGTATACATCTCACCATGTTATTGAGAGATATCATGGCTTTGAATAGCCCTGCATCTCCCCTTATCACCACCTTTCTTCCATCCACCATCAGTTCCATCGTGAATGCCCCCCAATCATGGTTTAAAATTTCGCAATATGAGGCTCGCCTTGAGGCCCGCCTTTAAGCAATTCAAGTAAAAAACGCCTCGAGTTCCTTTTATGAGGCTTGCGCCTCAACTTAGTTGAGGCCCGCCTCGCCTCACGCTATATATATTAAAACTTACATAAATCTTAAAGTAAATGCCCGACATTGGACTCTACAGGAGAGGAGGAAGGGGAGAGAGCAGTTCAACATAATGATGATTCAAATAAAGAACCCCTTAGTGATGACAGTGCTGATGATTTTTGAGTTCTTATGTGATATGTCATTGCTATTTATTTTTGAAAATTTGAATTATATGTTAATGAAATGAATATTGGTATTTGGGAAAGATAGAATTTTGAGTTGAAATATATTTCATGTTGTCTTATTATTGGGATATTTTAATTTCACTTCATATCTTATGTTTTTTTATGTTTTATATTATTCACTCATTAGTATATAAAAAAATTATCATTTTATGTTTACGAAATCTTTTGATTTTGAGGCTTACGCCTCAAAAAGCCTTGAGGCTTACGCTTCGCCTCACGAATGAAAAACTCCTCAATACCCGAATACGCAATTTTAAACATTGCCCCCAATTGACCTTTGTGTCCATCTCTTCCTCAAGCTCTCCCTCACCTCCCTTGTCATCACAGACGGTGAGAACCTAAAGAGTTCAATCCCTACACTTATGCCCAGGAGTATAATTCTCATCACACCTGAAACATAACTCCTTTGCCCTCTTCTCCTGCTTCTCTTTCTCCGCCAACCTCTTGAAATTCCCCCCACTTCCTCCTCCTGCCTTCTCCCTAGTGGTCTCACAAAATCCTCATGTTGTCGGATATTTGGGTGCTAAAAGAGTGGTCATCGTCCTGTAAGAGCTACTTGAATTGCTGCTTCTGACTCCCCTCTCATGATACATCTGATTTTCCACCAGCTGTGCCAACTCCATGGCCTTTCCTAAGTCACGAGACCTCATGACCTTCACTGCTGCTCTGATCACTGATTTAATCCCCTTTAGGAAGTTCCCCTGCAATGTTGTCTTTGAAAATTTCTCCACCCGACTGGCCAGATGCTTGAACCTCTTCCGATAGTCTGCCACTGATCCATCTTGCACTAGTGCAAATAATTGCTCATAGAAATCTCCTCCCTTGTCGGTTTAGAAACGTTATATTAAACAATCATTGAACTCTCTACAGCTCCATAGGGGTCTCCTCTGGTCTCTCTACTGATACCATGACAGCATCTTTCCCTCCAAACATAAGCCTGCTACTATTAACTTCTCCTTCGTCAACCCATTGACGACGAAGTACCACTCCACCTTATAAATCCACCCATGTGCGTCCTCCCCTTCAAAAATGAACATCTTCATCTTCCTCGCCTTCTGATCTCTCTGTTTCTCTTTATTCCTCCATAGTCTCCCCTTTCGCAAGTGCTTGGCCCTCCCCAAGTCTCCCGATCGTCCCTTGCCCTTTCATACCCAAAACCTCATTCACAATACCCTCTCCTTTCTTCGAAATCAACACCTCGACGGCCAAAATATTCCTCTTTGCGCTCCCATTCAGCATCCCTTTGCTCCTGCCCCTCATACCCATGGTTTTCCCCATACCTTCCTCCTCTATCCTTCCTCTGGAAAGGCTTCGGATGGGGTCTTCTTCTTTCTCCCTCTACGATCTCGACCTCATCCTCCTTACGAATTTCAGAATTTGTATTCTTTCCTTCTACCTCTTTTGCCGGTGAAGTAGTCGTTTAGATGTGGAATTCTAACATCTTCTTCATTATGTCCCGTAAGTCAGCTACTTGCTCTTCCATGGAGAAAATTTTGTCCTCCACCGTGGTCTTAATTTGGTTCATCTCCCCTTCAAGTCTCTCCTCCAGTGCATCCACTTTCTTGGCCACTATCGATCCCCGGATTTTTGTAGATTCAAAAATCTGGATTTCGCCCTCAAAAACAGCAATTTTCTCCTTCACCAGCCTAAGAACAGCCGCTGAAATTCACCAAAACAGCCCACCAATTGTCCCAAGATTTGCTATGATACCAATTTGATAGGAAATACTTGAATATTTCAAGTAAACCCTAACAAGATTGATAAAAATCAGCATGAAAAACTCACCAATTCCAATGAAAACAATTAAAAACAGTAGATTTTATTATAGAAATCAAATCAATGGAAAGAAACAAAGCAAGATACAATTGATCCTCAATATGAGAGGAGGATTGTTCTCTCCCAATCTCTAGATGAATCTAGAACCCAAGACGCCAAGAAGAAACTCCAAGATAACACAATAAGCAAGCATGACCCTAACCCTAATCTCTCCCTCATACTTAAAGCATACAATTAATCATTAAAACAAAAAGACCCAAAAGCCCATGTCGCCCCCTCTCTCTCTCTCTCTCTCTCTCTCTCTCTCTCTCTCCCCCCTTAGAAGGGGCCGGTTGGACCGATCCACTAGGGACCGGTTTAACAATATCATATAGAATCACACAACAATGTAAAACAAATGCTATTGCAGTAAAAATAGAATGGCAAAGGATATGAGCATATAATTGTAATCTGGTCCTAGGTTCTTCTAAATTCATTTTCATGCTCTAGTCAAAAACAAAAGAAATTCAAGAAGAAATTATGATCAATGTAGTTGTGCAGACTTACCAATATATGCGTTCCCCACTGTCTAGTTTAGTCCTTGGTACAACCACCATATCTGATTTTATTGCTGTACGAAAAAGAAAAATTGTACTAAGACTATAAAGCCATCATTAAAAATACAATAAAACGAATAAATATCAATAACCTGCAAGCTTTCTAACCCAAATTTACCTTGAATCCTTGATTCAACTTCAATCTCTGATTTATGCTCCTTATCTATAAGCCGGAGGATAGGTAAAGCTCTATGCAAAAGATAGAGCAAATGCTGCAATCTGGATGTGTCATCCAGTTCTTTTCGGCTAAACTACATCATATGCAATAGGTCCACATAAAGAAACTATTGCAGACCAAGCCAAGCATAATAAGAGAGAAAAAAAAAAAAGAGATTAAATTACCTTAAAATCAAGGAATACACGCAAACATGCCTTGCAGTTGCAGTTACCACGACAGAATGGGCAAGCAACTTCAACATCCACTGTAGTTTGTTCAGGGTACCTAATACATCCAAGTAATTGATTTTTTAACAAAGAGGCAATATTGCATTTGTATTAGTACTTGTAGGAAATAAGTAGAAGAGAAAAAGGAAGGAAGAAAAGTGGAATACTCCACTACCAAAACATGACACTATTTATAGAGTTTTATAATAGGAAAACATTAAGAATTAAAGCACAACTTATTAAGAAAGAAAAGAAAAAAAAATCAGCAGCATTTATATTTAAAAACTACTAACTATAGATGATAGAATCCCAAAGAGATAAATAGTAGACAGCACAGCAAGTGCTTTGCAATATCCAAAGCAGCCTAGTCAGCAACCAAAGTGTTGTCCAGCCTCCAAGACATAAACTGAGGGCCAACATTGCACATTCACTGCTGCTCAGTTAATGAACAGTTCTACTACCAAACATGATTGCCCTAACAGCTCCAGCAAGCAAAGATTTATGCCCTTGGAAGGAACTTTTATTTGGTCCGGTCACCTGACGTAGCTCTACGTTCGGACGTCAGCAAAATAGTGCCACGTGTTCTCACTATTTACCGCACGGCCCGACAACCCCGACCCGGAACAAAGACGGGATTGCCATGTTCGCGTGTTGCTAGGTATCGCTCGGTATTTGCACGGTATTTGCTCAGTATTGGTCAATTTTGCTCGGCAATAACGAGAAATACCATTCTATGAAGACCAATACTGAGCAATACCGACTCGATATTGCTCGGTATTTCTCGATATTGGTCTTCACAGAGCGATATTTTTAATTATTGCCAAGTAATACCTAGCAATACGCGAATATAGCAATCCCGGGTCAAGTCGTCGGGCCGCGTGGTATTGACTAAGACCACGTGGCGGCATGTTATTAGCGTCCAAACGTAGAGCAACGTCAGGTCACCTGACCTAATAATTGTTCCCTTGGAAGACCCATTGTTGACCTTGTTTTTCTCAAAATCCCTAGGTCAAAGGGTTAAACTGGTTAAATTGACCAAGCCAGGCCCCAAGACCCCTCCCATTCAATTCAGTGGGTCCAAGCCAAGTCTGTTGAGCCCAGACCCGGGCCCTAGGTCAACCTGGTTGACCCAAATTGACCCAAACTTCTCCCACTTGATTTCAAATCAAATCCTTTGCTTCTTGGCTCAATCTCTTACTCCCCCTAGATTCATTGGGTCAAACCAACCTTGTTGAGCTTAGGCCAAAGCCCTGGGTCAACCTGGTTGACCAAGTCAACCCAGGTTGACCCATTAAGCCATATGGAGCCTAATCCAAGTCCTAACCTATCCCAATCCACCTTGGGCTCAATCCATTATCTTTTGGACTTGATTGACCAAGTTGACCAAGTCAACCCTTGGCTTGGTCAACCCAAGTCAACCCTTAGGTCAAATTGACCTATATAAGTGAATTAGAGCCCTTTAATGTGTTTAATTGATTCTTATTCATCCTTAGACTCAAACCACGGCCAATTGAACATTATATCCTTCACAATCAAGTCTTGATTCAATCTAGGCCATCCACTAATACCCTAAGGCTATAAATAAGAGAAATTAGGGTTTATTTTGGATCTTTTGCTCATAACTCTTTCCCTAGAGTCTCTTAACCCGAGATCTTTCGTGTGAGAGCTCTACTTACTCCCATCCTCCTTCCCCAAGTGAAACACGCCGCCAAGACCCTGCCGGCAACAAGTTTCCTACGACCTAAGGCTTAAATCGTTCCAAGACCGATTTCCGACAATCAAGAGCTTGTTTGGTTGCAGTTTCAACTAGAAAAATATACGAGGACAATCTACAATCTCAACCGTATAAAGAACTTGAAGATCCAACAGTGAAATTCTCCAAAAACCCTAGAACTAGGCCACAACACTTAGATTAAAATAACTTTTTGTATATCGCGTATTAGACCGTGAAAACGGTCCCTCGTGAATACTCATCATGCATAGACACTACGTTTAAAATTTCATCAAGTTAGGTCCACCTGATCGAGAAAAAACTCCAAAAATCGCTTTAGGGTTTCGGGTTTCGCACGTTGTTAGCTTGGGGAGATCAGGACCGTTGATCCCGTGATCAACAGTCACGATTCCGCCATTCCGCCGTTCAGATTAACCGTGGATCTCAATCCCGTTATTCCGTAAACCATCCGACGAGATCACGATCGTTGGTTTCAAACCGCGGGCAGTCAGACGACTGCGAGCATCGTCCGACGTAGTTAATGATCCCGGCGATGAATCCGGTGCCGCGGCAATCATTGCCAATGATTGCGCGGTGGCTCAATCATTCACAATGACTGCCCGAAATCGCGGGACGAATACGAGGCCGCCACACGTTGTTTCCGCCGCCGGTTTAATTAATATAAATTTTAAATTAATTTTAAACCTTGTTTTCTTCAAAAAATCATTATAAATTAATTATAAATCCAAATATGTGTAATATATTAAATTTTTCATAATTTAATTTCTTTTAATTTAAAATTAAAATTATTTTAAAATAATATATATTTTTGAAGTTGTTATAAAAAATTAAAACAGTTATTTTAATTTTTTATCATTATTATTATTTTAATGATTATTTTTCATCATATTATTTTATTTATTTATTATTGGTATAGCTTAAATCATATTAATTATTATTTATTACCGCTAATTATTACTTTATTTGTAAAATAATGTTTATTTATTTTAAAAAGCAGGAAGCTTGTTTTAATTATTATTATTCTGAAGAAATTATATTAATATGATTTTTTTAATTAATTTATAATTATCGTAATTAATTAAAAACTTAGAACTTAAATTTAAACTTTTTTCTAAAAAATTTTATAACTATTATTTTAAATATGTTTTGAAATATAAAAAAATTAATTTAGTTATTTAAGTTAAAAATTATTTAAATATTTTTTCCTATTTTAAAAACTATTTCTTTAATTAATTTTTAAATAAACAATTTAATTTTTAAAGTTTAATTAATTTAAAATTTTAATTATCTTTCAAATATAAAAAATTACTTTTCTTATTAAAATATTTAAAAATCAAAGAGGCATTTTCAATTATTTAAATAAAAATTAATTATTGTTTTTAATTATTTTTAAATATTTTTCATTATTAATTAATTTAGTTCATTTTAATTTAAATATTATTAAAATAGTTTCCTATTTTAAAATTTATTTCTTTTAATTAATTTTCTTAAAACCTATTTAATTATTAATTAATTAATTTAAAAATTAATTATCTTCAAATTACAAAAATTACTTTTCTTATTAAAATATTTTAAAATCATAGAGGCATATTTAATTATTATATTCTAAACTTAATATTGTTTTTTGCCTATTTTAAGTATTTTCATTTATTAATTTAATTACTTAAATTATGTGAATAAAATTAATAAAGTTTAAAATTCCATTTTTTATCCAAATTATAATATTATTTTATTAAAATTATTTCTAAATTCAAGAAATGTTATCTTTAAACTTAATTTGATTTAATAATTATTTTTAAGTAATAATTATTTTTATAAATTATTTTTAAAATAGCTTTTATTACTTTAAATTTTAAAAATTCATAATTATTTCATTTTAAATCCGATTTTAACGCATGATAACTCTAAATTTTCAAAAAATTATGTATTTTAATTTAAAAATATTTTCATATTTTAAATTTGTTTTTCAAACTTATTTCTTTACTATTATATTATTTATATTATTTAAATATTATTTAATTAAATAATATGTTAAATATTTTGAAATTAAAAATTTTTTTCAAACCTTTTTAAATCCTCGCTCGGGTGGCTAGTGAATCTCCTATATATTTATGTATGCCTATGCATTGAACTATTTTTAAATTATATTATGTTTCAAGCTTATATATCGATTATCGATATTTTGAAACTATTTTAAAACTACCTGTTTTAAATTCCCTATTTTTTGGGAGATCCACGTTGTAGAATTTTAAACATAAATTATACACATTGATAGCATTCATGGGGGAAAGATTAGTGGGTGATTGTGTTTCAATCATTTACTAATCGCATCGTAAAGAGTGCTTAATTAACTGATTTATCATTTTTTTTGCATGTGTAGAACGCACGAGCACTTAATTTAGGTCCTCCTAAATCTAAAGATTCAGTGTGTTTACTGTTTTCATGCACTTAGTTTAAACATATATAACGTAGCGACACCCAAGTACAATAATTAAGAACCCATCTAGCAAACTTAGAAAAATTCTATGAGCTATGGTAGATCTCTAAATGACTTGAAACCCTCAACATTTAAACTTAGTGACATCATAAACCCCTCAGAATTTTCTATGAATTTTTAGGAGCATTTAAACCCTTTAATTAACAAACCCTAATTTAACGCGTTAATTAGGCCCCGATAACTTCAGAAAATTCTAATAAATTCATTTTAACTCAAAAAATTACCCATAAAACCTTGAACTCTTAAGAATTTAACCCTTATTCTTAGATAATTAGGGTCCCTTAATTGGACCTCAATTTGAACTTTAATTTAACCTTAACTAAAATTCAACTTTTTGCCCTAATTAAATAATTAAAAATTAATTAAAATTTCAAATTTTCCTCAAACACTTGGGAACATTTTTTTAGGTCATTTATGACCTTTGGGAGTGTTTCAAATCAGTTTGGAGCTGATTTGGATCAAAATCCCTAAAATGACCCTCATTAAACAATTTTGATAATTCATCAATTGCCCGAAACTTCTAAAATCAATAACTTGGCCTAGAAAACTCCAAAACTAGTAAACTCAAAACCTAATTACTCCCCTTAAGGCCTAATATTTAACTAAAATGCTAGAACTCTCATATATAGCCCATTTCCAATAGTGACCTTTTGGATCCCCTTAGCCTGGCGTATAGGAAGACCCCGGATATTCTAAAATTGACTAATGCAACTTAAACTTCAATGATTACTACCCTAAACATTAAAATGGATCAACAAACTAAAAATGAACTAAACTAATCACAATTCATTAATATTTAAACTTCAATTAAAGCTTTCATTTTCAGACCTTCAACAAACTCGAACCTTAAACAACTTGGACTTTTAAGACTTGCGTCATTCAATAGGATTAGAATCCAGGTTATTGTCGGTAGAGCCTGGCCACTACTTTTCTACATACCCTGACTTATATTTATACGGCACTTGTCGTGGACTTTCTTTTCTTACTTTACTCTAAGTTGATTTATCGTTTACATTGATTGCGCATTAGAAATTGCATGTTTTTCCTAGGTTTCTTTTCTTGCATGTGCTTGGCTTGATTCGCAATAGGCTCCTTAGGATAAAAAATGTTTTATACTCTTAAATGATATTCAAAATTTTAAGAATTAAATAACTTAGAAACTTAACGACCTAGGGAATAGTCGGAATCATCCGGGATCGCATGCATATTTTTGTAATCTCTCTCCCTCCTAATAAGACACCTCCCCACCTGCGGGTAGAGTCCGGATAATCTGGCCTATGAGGATGAACTGCCGGACCTCGGGAGGCTTAGTCTTTTCTAAAAATTATTTTTATATAAGCATGTTTTTAAAATCTCAAGCATATATGATTTGGCCTTTTCAACTAGCATGCATTACATTAAAAATTAACTTAATTAAAATTTAATTGCATTAGCTCTAGAAGCATTCACCCTACATAAGTTCGGGGCCAATTAAGGGGCCCTAATTATCTTGGCATTAGTGAAGAGACATGAGATATCCAATCCGATCGTGGAGGGAGTTCAAAGATAGTTTATTAGAATTTTTCTGAACCAATCGGGAAGGAGAAAGGAGACTTCTACGAACAGTTCTTTGATCTGGTTCAGAAAGGGGCAGTGATGGATTATCGGGAGAGATTTGAATATCTTTCTAGCCGATTGGGGAGGCTATCTAAGACAATGTTGGAGAGGAATTTCATGAAGGGGTTGGACTCAAGCCAGAGATCAAAGCTGTTGTCTGGTTATTGAGGCCACGAGAGCTAGGAGTGGCTATAGAGCTAGCCCAGATGGTGGAGGGCAAAAACTCACTTGAGAGAAACAACAAGGCAGCAATCCGGGGGCTTCTCACCGGATGACGACTAGTTTTTTGGCAGCAAAGGTATGACATGTGCCCATTCAAAGAGAAGTACCCAAGGATAGGGGATTGGGAGCACAAGACAAGGGAAATTTCAAGCGGTTAACTAAGACAAAGGTTCAAGAGAAGCAGGCTAGAGGATTGTATTTCCCATGTGATAAGAAGTTTGCACCGGGCCATTGCTGCAAGGACCGTTCGCTGCAGGTACTTATAGTCTATGATGAGGAGGAGACTCTAAAGGAGGAGGAGCATTTTCACCTAGATGTTTCGGAGGTCTCCCTAAACTCATTAGTGGGTTTTACCTCAAATCACACCATGAAGGTGAGGGTACAAATAAAAGAAAATTTTGTGATAGTTTTAGTGGGCAATGGGGCAACCCACAATTTCATCTCCAACCAGGTGGTAGACCGTTTGGGGATGAAGCTGATTGACATGGGTTGTTTTAGGGTGATGATGGGAACGAGGAAGGTGAAGAAGAGTAGAGGTATCTGCTTAGGTTGATGGTGACACTGCAGAAGATCTGGGTGGGGAGGATTTCCTTTCCTTGAAGTTAGGGAGCACAGATGTACTTTTAGGTGTGAGTAGTTGCAGACCCTAGGGAAGACCAAGGTGAACTAGAAGGCATTGACTATGAAATTCATGGTGGGAGGGAGTAAGTTGAGGATCGGGGGGATCCTAGTCTGTCAAAACCCAGGGTTTCTCTTAAAACCATGGTAAGGGCAATTCAGTGTGAAGGAGTGGAAAAGCTCAGCAAAAAGGATGTACAGAAGATGCCAAGGGAGATTCTAGAGTCCAAACTTAGAAATTGGATTCACTATATGAGGATTGTTGTGAAACTGCTATTTGCTATAGAAAGAAAAATTTGCAATCAAATTGTTATTAGTATCAATGTTCTTAAGGATCGATGTTTGTTGAAGTAACAGCAAACAATGTGTTGATGCTTTTTAATTTTGGGGATGCTATAGCTAAAACCAAGATGTCACCAGAGAAGTTGTTTGTGCTTCTAGACATGTATTAAACAATGTGCGAGCTTCATTTTGAGATTGAAATGATATTTGAAGGAAAAACTTGTTCTGAAATAAGGGAGGGATGCTGCTCCCTGCTCATAATCTTTCAAGGTGCTTAGCCCAGACTGCTCAAGAAACTTTTGGTGATTTTCAGAAAGTAGTGGAAGAATATGCAACAAAAACTGGTGTGATAGATGGAACTGTGCACCCTCTGACTAGCTATGTGATAAACTATGTGAAATTTTTATTTGACCATCAATCAACTTTGAAGCAGATTTTTAGGAGTTTAAAAAGGTGGGAAAAGATTCAACTCCCCAACTGGCAACTATTTGAATTATGCAAGCTCTTCAAAGTAAATAGAACTGTAAAGCTCAGCAATATAAGGATCCTATGTTGACTTATCTATTCATTATGAATAACATCTACTACATTGTTAGATATGTTCGAAGATCAGAGGCAAAGGATTTACTGGGTGATGATTGGGATCAGAGCCACAGAAGAATTATGCAGCAAAATACAAATCAATACAAATGGGTAGCTTGTGCAAAGATTTTGCAGTCTCTTTCTGCTGAAAGCCAAAGTTCTTCTGGAGGTGCTATTCCTAGGGGAAGTCATGGGGGCAACAGTAGTGGAGTTTTAAGGGCAACTATAAAGGATAGATTGAAGTCTTTCACCATGCATTTCAAGGTTGGTGATAAAGTGTATTTGAAGATTTAACCTTACAAACAGAAGACCACAGCTCGAAGAAGAAATGAAAAGTTATTTCCACTGTATTATAGGCCTTATGAGGTGGTGGAGATGATTAGTGTTGTGACGAATTGTTCAAAGCTACACCCTACTTCCACCATATTGTCGTATTTCCATGTGTCCCAGCTGAGGAAAGTTAATGGCGACCATAGTCCATCAATGTGTCGATGACTTGATAGAATAAATGGAGGTAATCCTGGAGCCAAGGGAAGTGAAAGGAGTTTATTCGACAGCAAGAGGAGCTAGAGAAGTGTTGATCGAGTGGAAGGATCTGCCCAACTATAAAATAGCATGGGAATCGTACTACATAATTCAACAACAATTTCCTTCGTTACACTTTAAGGACAATGTGGCTCTTTGGGAGGGGAGGCCCCACTAGCAAGGACTGCGGGCAAGGAAAGGAGGATCCAAAGGGGAACAAATCCACCTTTAATTACTTATTATAGGAAACCAAAATTGAGGGGGAATTTGGAAAGTTGAAAGGGAGGCTGGTTTGAATTCAAATTTGGGAGATAATTAGGAAATATTTATTTAAGCAAAGGGGTCGATTTGAATTGAGATTTAGTATGGAATTAGGGAAGATTTATTTAAGGAAAGAGGACTATTTTGAATTGAGATTTGGGAGGGAATTAGAGAGGCTTATATAGGGATAATTAGGTTGTTTAATTCATTATGTGATTTGTGTGTTTGCTGTTTTTTTTTTTTTTTTAGTTGTTCCTAGCGGCGCCTAAGGTTTTTTGTGCCAATATAAAAAACTTTTTCGCTAATATTTGTTGTGTTTTCTCTTCGTTATTACTGTCTTTGTTTTGTGAAGATTAGATTCCTATGAGAAATTTAATTCTATAATTATAAGGGATAATTTATTTAATAAAGTAATAAATATAACTACAATAAATAAATCAAAATGAAAGTGATGCTATTCGCATAGATCTAAAGCAAGCTGCATGTTGTTGATTCTGATGTTACTACCATCAAAAACTAAGATATAAGACTTTGTTTTATATTTACCATTTGGCCACACAGGAATGGCAATATCGCTTGATCTTACAATTTGAGCAAATAACAACATCTTTCTCATAGCTATGCAGACACTGGTGGCACAGCAAACGCTTCTTCCCCATGCCCTGGGAGGCACTATCCTGAAAAGAAAATTTCTTGTTGGACATAACATGAATAAAAGCTGACTGATACGATGGCATATTTAAGAAATTAGAAAGAGCATGCAGCAAATCAAAGATAGTTGATGCAAACTAATTAAGCAATCAAAGTTGTTCGAACTAGGGATTTATCTTAAAGATTTCAACACGAAATGCTATAAATGAAATAAGCAAAATAAAAAAGAAGAAAGCTAGCAAGAACAAGTTTTTTTCTCCAAAATGGTCAGAATGCAAGAGCAAAGTTATTACACATTCTACCACACCATTCCACAACCTAATAAATAATCAGAACAACCCTTGCCGTAGTAATGCAGACGGCATCAACATCTAATGCCAGTTGCATTAACAAGTCAAAGAAATTAATTAGCATGCAAATAACAACCAATTTACAGGTGGATTACCTATTATTTAGTATTTATACAAGATGCATCGAATGAAATATCTCTAAATACAAACAATTCCGGAATCAATATAGAAGGGAAGAAAACTAAATTGTGTTTAGTTATAGCGCCACAAAAAAGGGTGAATTGGAGCACTTTTCTACAAACTCTTCCGATCACCCATGCAATTAAACACAATTAATTTAGACAAGTGCACAAGCATAAACTATTCAAAAGGTGATGTAAAGAAAGTGCAGGCAATCTAAAGTGAGCTTTTACTTGGATCTACACAACATTTTCTCACGTCCAAGTTTCTATACTCCTGCCTTAAGAATTCCAATAATCCCACCACTGCAACACTCGAGTGGAGTGCAATCACTCCTTTCAATCCGAAGTAACATTAGCTTATACACAAGTGCATCACTCCAAATCCCTACCTAGGATTTGATGTCTAAGAGATATGTTTTTAAAAAAGTACAATATTTAAGATGATGGGATAACACAATGCATTAAAAATTTGTAGAAATGAGGAGGATGGCTCAACAAATCCAAAAAACAAAGAACAAACAAAAATAAACAACACTCACAGTTCAAAAAGAGAGGTTTACAAGAGGAAAAAAAAAAACATTGAGAAGCAATGCAAATGTAAACTTGGATTCTTTAGATTGTTTAGAGTAGTCTTTAGGATAAACCAATATTGTGGACAAACATCCCGATAGACATCATACAAATTGACCTCTAGAAGCCCAAGAACTTCATAGCATCAAAAAAAATAATTAGTCTTTTCCCTTGACGTCATTTTCAAGACCATATATTTTGGTGTTTTGCAACATGTGTTCCTACGAAAAAGTGCCTTTGTTCAAAGCCTTCAAAAAATATATTGAAAATATAAAATTATGCCTATAAACAATACTTTGTGTATGTTTTTACATATAATATGATTCTAATTGGTGAAACATCAACTAAAATCAATTAAAAATTAGAAAGATAGAGTAAATGTTTTGAAAAATAAAGGCCTTAGAATAGAAGAATGATATCTAAGTATATCATATGTAATTTTAGTGGCCATGATACTAGCAATAATCATTCAATATTATTTGAAGATAAGGTAATACCTAAATGTAATATGTTTAAGTATCTTAGATCTATTACTAGAAGAATGGACATAGATAAGAATATAAATTTTATAGTTAAGGATGGTTGGAGGTGAAAATGTGTTGAAAGTTCTGTTTAGTAAGAAAATATTAAAGATGTTTAAAAGTAAATTTTATAAAATCACAATTAGGCAAACAATTTTGTATGGATGTAAATGTTAAACCGTAAAAAATTCACTGATATCAAAGTTGATTGTGGCATAAATAAGTATGGAGTGAAAATTTGGGGTGTATACCCCACTGGCTCACCCCACCCCAATGTGTTGTTCAATTGAGTGACTAAGTTAGCCCTTTGGTGTGAAGACCGGCTGAACCTGCAAGAACAATAAACGAGAACAGGGGAAGAGAAATAGCAGGGGAAGAGGGAAAGAAAGAGAAGAGAAGCCCGAGAGAGATAAGGAGGAAAATGAGATTTCTGTATTAACTTTTCTATCTCTTCCATCCATCTGCTAGGTGCTTAAGTAAAGGAAGCAAAAATAACTAACTTGCTGAGTTGGCCACTACCTGATAATAACAGAAAGCAAATAAAATAAAATAACTAAAGCTGCAGTAGAAGGTGGACGTCGGAGGTAATGATGGTGCCGTTGGGATGAGCACCCGTCCAATGAAGTGGCCACATCACCCTTCAGGCTTCAACCACTCTTTATTTTTTGACTTATGATTAAAACATTTGCCAAAAATAGCATTGGTAGAAGGAACCAATATATCAAGGGAGAAATTGGAAATACATGGATGTTGAAATCTTAGAAAGGCCGCCGGAGATGTTGCCAACTTGTCAGCAATATTTTGACTTATGAAAAAAACATATTTGAAAAATAGCAATGATAAAGAGCCAAAATATCAAGAGAGAAATTGCAAATACATGAATGCCAAAATCTTAGAAAGGCCGCCGGAGACATAGCCAAATTGGCAAGCAATATTTTGTAGATTTGCAACTAGTACAATCTAGAATAGAGTTTAAGATAATAAATTCCAATTTTATTTTAATCCACTCGTTCATAAAAAATCCTACATGCGCCCCTGGGCACAAAATGCTTCAAGTTTGTATCTAATATAGCAAAGCAACAGGGTACACTCCATTTTGTTGTTGTTCTTTTTTTAGATCTCTTCATGAGTAAATTGGTTAATAAATTCGAACACCCATGACATATTGACATGTGTTACAAAATTCCAAAAGCATAGAGGTTAAAAATAAGGACTTACAGCTAAGAAAAAAAAGAAAACTAACTCACAGTTGGCTCCGCCTTCGCTGTTCTACCTCCGCAGTCGTTATACTTTGACGGTGGAGACGTTTGCTTCCTTTCAACACATGGTCTCTTCTCAATCCGACTTGGAGCACAAGAATTCCCTTTCAAACTGGCGGATTCCTTCACCTCGTCCCCAAAGGACCTCTTCTTCTCTTCTTCTTTCCTATTTGCTACGACCTTCTTGCCCTCATCAAAATGTGATCTCCTCTTCTTAATCTGATAGAACAACAACATATCTTTCCCCTCCCTCCTCCCCTTTCTAACTACCCCCCTGGTTAAGAATTCCGTATCTGTCGATTCCACCAAGTCATCTTCGGCACCATCCTTCTCCCTTCGCTCGCCCTCCCTTCTCTTAGATCGGCCGGTCATCTTCCTCTTCTCATCCTCCGCCGATAGTACTCGCATCTTCTTGGTGCAGGCGCCAGAGGAGGCGCTACCCTCTTCTTCGCCAGCGAACTTCCTCTCCCTCTTTCTCTGATCCAGACGCTTCATCTCCAAGCTGTGCTTCTTGCAGAAGCGCTTTTCAGACGCCACCATCTCCATGCACCGACAGTCACCCTCCCCCTTCTTAGCGCACCTTTTTGGCGGCGTTAAATCCATCGATCCGGACAAGAATAGCACCGAATCCTGAATAAAATCCCGGCACAAGCCAACCTCTCCCGATCTCTGCGTCAGTGTGCTCTACTAGAGAGACGAAGCTCCTATCCTTCCAAATTTTAACAACAGCGTAGAGTATTGGAAGGAAGACTTCCGGTCGTCGGTAAATGCAGAAAATCCCTAGCTCCCTCGCCCCTTTTGTCGTTTCACAGAAGAAATAACAGCCGTGGCCAGTGAAAACTTCCGATCCACAACAGGCAGCTATTTTACCGTATAGAGCAATCAGATAGAATTGAGGCCGGCGAAATAGGAACGCCTTTAAAAGGCATAGCACGTTTAGGTTCGGTGGGCGACAAGATTTGGCCAATAGTAGATGTGAGTGATACTAACCAACATGGTGCACAAGGTATGCTTGTTGTGATTTCATATTTTTAATATAAAAACATCTAATTTTTATGGTTGTAAAATATCTTTTATTGTTAGGAAAAATTTTAATTATAAATTATTAATAATATGACAATAAAGATGGAAATTGTTTCTTTTCTAATTTTTTGCTAAATTATTTGGCATGAGTAGACATTGGGTTATTTATTGCAATTAATGTATTTAATGAAATATCATTATAAAACTTCCAATGAAAATGAATGTGTTTGAATGCAAATTTTACTGCATCAATAATTTCATCCATATGCATTTATAACTCGCTAATTGAAATTATTCACTAAGATTATATCCCCTCTTTTGTAGCACTTAATCATGATCATATGCATGTAAATACAATGCAACAATATGAGTACAATCAAATACTAATTATTTACTAATTTTGGTTAGAGACTAACTAATATGTGCATGATTGTGAGCCAACGAGCATTCCTTTAAATATTTTAGTTTGTGTTATCCTCTATTAATTTACGTGATTCACTAATTGAGAGTTATGAATATATGATTACTATGTCGATATACAAAGAATAACGACTTTGTTTACTAAGACAATTATATAGTAATAACGATATTAATTACCGTAAAAATATCGCTTTGATCAATATGCCTTACTTGTTTAGAGCATTATAGAATGTTTATTACTACTGATTCATTAATATTGTACATCTAATAAATAAATAAATAAAATTAATATTATACAGCTTTAGCGATATTGTTTTGATTCACTATCACTGTATAGATCTATTGTTAATGTACTGCACTACTTTTTTTTTTCTTCTTCTTCTTCTTTTCAAACTGTAATGCACTATTGTTACTACAACTAGCAATATTGATACATAAACTATACTTCTCATACTATTATTGATATTGTTTTTGATTCATTAATACAAAAGCATGTGATATATATATACTTAGCATGCTAGATACTAGATATATTGAACTCATAATTTATATATTGAATTGATGCTGATATGGAATGACTTATGGAGCATGGAATACATTGTTATTGTCACCTTTATATAGTTTTTCTACATTGATACAATTTCATTGTTTTATTGAATTAGACTCTATACCAATTTAGTGGATTGTTGAGTTATAAATTTTGTTGTTTCTTCTTTGTATTATTGTATTGATTTCTCTATCGTATTGGTTTATTGTCTACTGACTATTCTAATGCTTATTATTACCACATTTGAGTTTTACTATTTTTTGCATTAATTCAAGATTATATAAATGTTACATCTACGATTTGTCTAGTGACATATATATTGCTCATTTGTTGTAGAATCTGGTTACTTGGTGGGCTCTTGAGTGTGGTATAATGATTTCATGTCAATGCAAGAGAACATGGGTGTGAAATTGATCAGGATACTTCAAATTCATGTTATTGTTATTTTAGCTATTCTTGTATACTCATGACATAGTAGTTATGATATAATTATATAGATTCTAAGTAGTGTACATAATTTTTAAGGATACATATATATTGTTGTTTTGATCGATAGTTTTATTTATGTTAATATTCATGTAATTTTGATTGTTATATATTAAAAGATAAAAGAATAATTCTTCCAAATTAAATTATGGAGCATCGTGCATAAACATTTAAAATGATATTCATGCTCACACTATTCTAGCAAAACATTTGTTTATCAATTTATTCAAATATTCAAAAAAGAATAATAACAACTTAGATCCTTTCTGCTTGGTGAGAAAGATGTGAAGCTAGATACAAAAAATATAATTTTGGCGAGAATGAAGTCACAACTGGAGGAGAGTCAATGGATGGAGTTATAATAACACCTAATTTGACGCCATTGAGTTGGTATTATGGTTTATCAATAACATTATCATTGATTTTTTAATAATGTGATGACACTATTGTCATCTCCTTTAATGATGGGAGTATGATCATTGATCTGAAGTTTGTGATACAAACAAATAATGTCACTCCCTTATACTAGACAAAAAAGCACTAAAGAGGAGTAGGAGTCTACAAAGATCGAGAACTAATGATATTACCATTAGATGAAGAACTACTGTAAGTGATTAGCCAATAATAACAAAGGTAGTGGTATGATATAACAAGTCAAATGGATGAGAAATCCCCTTAGCAGCTTCGAAGTCTTAGGAGCAATGTTTGATAAACTAATGAAGATGGATATAAACATTTAAGGATAAGTTAATTTTGATTGATTGAAGTATCCATGAACATGCATTAATGGAGGTTGGTAAGTGTTAGAGAACTAAACCTCTCTCAACTCCTCGATTTCATACTCTTCGTCTCAAACTAAGTGTCATACAAGATCCATTAGTTTGAAGGGGGATGCTAGAGAACTGTACCTAATATACATCATGTGTATTTACTTTATGGCATTACTGTAATTAGCTTTGCATAGACCTCCAGGCGGACAGCCTAGTGAGTTATATATATAGATAGGTCTCTGTACTAATTAGACAAGATTGGAAATATATTTTTACACATTTTTTCCTCTGTCTCTGTTTCTTTCCCTCTCGATCAAGAACCACTCAGAAACCAAGAAGTGGGTTTCCACAGTAAGGATTATGCCAATGTTTGTCGTATGATAAAAAGCTTATCATCCAAGTTTGAAAGAATAAAAAATAGTTAGTTGAGCAACTACCTTAGAGCTAACTAGGGAAATTACCTATGAAAGAATGTAGGAGTTGAGTTGGATGCCATAGGAACTACTTGGCCATTTTAACTAAAGAAAGGGGCCTCAAGTCATTCGAGCTTTCTTGATATGCGTCCAACACAGCTAAAAAATTTCTAACATTAGAGGAATTGGAGTCACATTGGGGCAATAGTTATTAGTGGGGAACTATTGACCCAATGGGTGGAGTGACAATTTGGAGATTAACATGGGTAGGTGTCATCTAGTGGAAGAAGTCCTTAATAGATATGGGCATCTTGAGGTATGATCCAACACTACGAAAGGTTCCCATTAGATGGATTAACATAAAAAGCACCAAAATTTAATAGATTAACATGTTGCTTTATCCAATAAAATCATGTCTACATTTTTGCTGATATGTACGGCATATTATTTTTTATGTGCATTCATTAATGTATATATAAGAAGTCATTGGTTCTTTGATTCATATGAGTTTGGTTGCATCTCCTTCAATGGGATGAGATCGACATTTAAAATCACAAGTGCAATCTATTTGTAGCTGCAAATGACATGGGTTGCGATAAAAGGGCATTCCCGGTTAAAAGAATATACCAAATTGTTGAGTCATGAGTGCCACCTTAAAAATAATTGGCATATGATAATTTTTGTGGGGACTATGATCATCCTGAATGGTCGTCAAGCAAATGAGGTGATAATGTCTTGATAGTCACAAGGAGGACCATAAAATCAATACTTAGCATTTTAATATGAGAAGATCTAAGAATAAAATATGATGGGATGCCTTTATATTTGTCATACAAATCATGATGATTTTCATTTAACACAGAAGATTCTCTGATACATATGGCATATTTAGAAGGTTATCCTATCATATGTCTTGCATGATAATGTACTACTTTAAAATATATTTTGATAAAAAGATAAAAAAATAGCAACTAAAAATCATTTGATTGACATATAATTTAATGTACTATATATATTAAAATTTAAAAAATTTTCAAAATAGTCCTGAGGCTATCTATGTACGATCAATTTAATCTCATAGTATCTTATGTTCCATTTCAGTCCCACTACTATATAAAATTAATCATAAATAATCACTCATATTATAATTGTGATATAAAATTGATTACAATTTAATTTAAAAGAAAAATTTTGAATTAATTTTATATAATTGAAAAAGTAAATTAAAATAATATTATATTTTGAGATTAAAATAATTTTATATAAATAGTAGGCGACTGTTTTAAATTTAACACATTAAAAATTTTTAAAATTAAACTAAGACCCATAAATCGTTGAAATTAATAATTATTAGAATAAACGGTTAAATGCGATTAATCGGCAATTTCGCAGTTCCAACTCCCTTTGCAAAGAATCCGAGGAGCTAAACTCGTTACCGCGCTCGTACAAATATTACTGTGTTACTGCATCTGCCGGTGTCTCTGCTGTTCCGGTATCCCTACGCGTCCATCACCGGCCGGTGAGCGTCGGCCTCGCTCAGTCTCGCTACTGCTCATGTTCTCTGTGAGATGAAATCTGACGATGGACACCATGCTGATCGCGTGTTAGACTCAGAAATCGGATAAATGGAGGAAACCGAGGGCGATTCCATGCTCGGGGAGGTGATTATTGGCTGCGGGAACCCTAAGGTTATCGAGTTGGAAGAGCTGCAGCAGCAGCTAGCCAGGTTTTTGAGTTCATCGTCGGCCTCAGGAAGGAAAAACCGAAAAAGAGCAAAAATAATACCTCACAAAGTGGCTTGAGTTGGTTATCGTGGTAGGATTCCGCTCCTACGATTTCTATATTGGCCTAACGCTATTATTTTTTTTGCATTTTGATCGCTTTGTTTTATGTACTTTTTTTTGGGTTCTTGGAACTGGATTTAGTGAAATGAATGAATTGGATGGTTACGGCCTCACAAGATGATATTAAAAAAAAAAGACGTTTCCTTTCTAGGATTTCGTTTGCTTTTGGTTCTCTTGAGTATCTCATTTAAACTTTGCTTGTGATTTAGGTCGATTCTTTTGTTTCATGCCCGCTTGTAATTGGTTCGATTCTGAGCTTTAGTTGATTAATTCGCGGGTTAGCGGCACGGCAATCTGATGAACTGTTCAGCATAAGTATCTGCAACAGTTTAATGAATTGGATGATATGCAAAGAAAGGTAGAGGTTAGGAAACTTTCCATGGGTGATATGATGAGGCAGATGAAGGAGACAAAGGAGGATGTGAAAAGCAAAACAGAGCAGCTTGGCGTAGCTCTAGGATCACTGCTGGCAGCCCGAAAGAAAGTTTGTGCAGCACATCAGCCAGAAAGAAAGACGTTTCCTTTCTAAGCAAAACAGAGCAGCTTGGCGTAGCTCTAAGATTACTGCTGGCAACCTAGGGGATCATTGAGAATATTGCATCAATACCAGCAGCACATCAAGAAGAGTGCATGTAGAACTTTACAAAGCCTGCTAATGATGTAGATGATCAACTTGCAGCTAATGAGACCAAGTTGCTGTTAGAGGAGGTAGACTTGGACATTGAGAAGAACATTGATGATGTTAGTAGTAAGGATTTGACATCGTCAGATGAAAGTGAATCATCTAATGATTAATAGTTATGAGGTAAATGTGAATTAACTAGTAATTTTTTTTACATGTTATTATACACACAATAGTTTATATACAGTAGTTCATTAATTTACTCAACTTGCATAATACTCTTTTGATTATATTTGCTTTGCACAACTATTTTTTTATAATTGTTTGGATTGTGAATGTTGGAAAGCCCAAATAATTATTGTAGGAGTTTTTTCTTGTTATGCTACAAGTTTGCGAAGGATTTACAACGAAAATTCCACCGCAAATATCGAGACAACATTATGGTATCGACGTTTATGAAGGGCCTCTCCATCAAAAATTGCGTCAAATTATCCGCCGCAAATCCTCCCCAATTTGTGATGGAATATGCGGCGAATCACAAAAACAAAGCCGTCGTTTTATTCTATCACAAGTCCGCCGCAAAAAATTTGCGACAGATTTTTTCCGTCGCAACTATGTTTGTGACACTCATTTTAGCATCATGATCATATCCGTTACAAATTTGCCGCAAAACAAGATTTGCGATGGATTTCTCTGATTTTGCGGCGGATTTGGCCTCCGCAAATAGCTGATTTTCCTGTAGTGTTTTATACTGTATCTAGAGATTTTCTCTTATACAAGCTAGTACAAAAAGATTTTTCTAAACTTTTCATATCCTGGATTAAAGGTTAAATTGAGGATGTATTTTTCTCTGTTTGCCTCATTGGTGTGTTGGAAGGTCTTTTTTTTTTTAATGTTGGAATTTTTTTTAGCTCCACTTTTGATCTTCGTTAGGGTTGCTGATGTAGTGGATTGTCGGAAGATCAAACCTGCAAGAAGGATTTCAAGGAGTTCCCAATCCAGGGAAGAAGAAGAGAGCTTTCTCAAGAGCTGCAGCAGCAGATAGCCAGGTTTTTGAGTTTATCGTCGGCCTCAGGAAGGAAAAACCGAAAAAGAGCAAAAATAATACCTCACAAAGTGGCTTGAGTTGGTTATCGTGGTAGGATTCCGCTCCTACGATTTCTATATTGGCCTAACGCTATTATTTTTTTTGCATTTTGATCGCTTTGTTTTATGTACTTTTTTTTGGGTTCTTGGAACTGGATTTAGTGAAATGAATGAATTGGATGGTTACGGCCTCACAAGATGATATTAAAAAAAAAAAGACGTTTCCTTTCTAGGATTTCGTTTGCTTTTGGTTCTCTTGAGTATCTCATTTAAACTTTGCTTGTGATTTAGGTCGATTCTTTTGTTTCATGCCCGCTTGTAATTGGTTCGATTCTGAGCTTTAGTTGATTAATTCGCGGGTTAGCGGCACGGCAATCTGATGAACTGTTCAGCATAAGTATCTGCAACAGTTTAATGAATTGGATGATATGCAAAGAAAGGTAGAGGTTAGGAAACTTTCCATGGGTGATATGATGAGGCAGATGAAGGAGAAAAAGGAGGATGTGAAAAGCAAAACAGAGCAGCTTGGCGTAGCTCTAGGAGCACTGCTGGCAGCCCGAAAGAAAGTTTGTGCAGCACATCAGCCAGGAAGAAAGACGTTTCCTTTCTAACAAAACAGAGCAGCTTGGCGTAGCTCTAAGATTACTGCTGGCAACCTAGGGGGTCATTGAGAATATTGCATCAATACCAACAGCACATCAAGAAGAGTGCATGCAGAACTTTACAAAGCCCGCTAATGATGTAGATGATCAACTTGCAGCTAATGAGACCGAGTTGTTGTTAGAGGAGTTAGACTTGGACATTGAGAAGAACATTGAAGATGTTAGTAGTGAGGATTTAACATCGTCAGATGAAAGTGAATCATCTAATGATTAATAGTTATGAGGTATATGTGAATTAACTAGTAATTTTTTTTACATGTTATTATACACACAATAGTTTATATAAAGTAGTTCATTAATTTACTCAACTTGCATAATACTCTTTTGATTATATTTGCTTTGAACAACTATTTTTTTATAATTGCTTGGATTGTGAATGTTTGAAAGCCCAAATAATGATTGTAGGAGTTTTTTTTTTTGTTATGCTACAAGTTTGTGGCGGATTTACAACGAAAATTCCACCGCAAATATTGAGCAACATTCTGATATCGACGTTTATGAAGCGCCTATCCATCACAAGTTGCGTCGAATCATCCGCTGCAAATCCACCCCAATTTGTGATGGAATCTGTGGCGGATCACAAAAACAAAGTCGTCGTTTTTTTCTGTCACAAGTCCGCCGCAAAAAAATTGCGACAAATTTTTTCCGTCGCAACTATGTTTGTGACACTCATTTTAGCATCAGAATCGTATCCGTTGCATATCTGTCGCAAAACAAGATTTGCAATGGATTTCTCTGATTTTGCGGCGGATTTGGCCTCCGCAAATAGCTAATTTTCCTGTAGTGTTTTATACTGTATCTAGAGATTTTCTCTTATTCAAGATAGTACAAAAAGGTTTTTCTAAACTTTTCAATCCTGGATTAAAGGTTGGGTTGAGGATGTATTTTTATATGTTTGCCTCATTGGTGTGTTGGAAGGTCTTTTTTTTTTAATGTTGGAAGTTTTTTTTCACTCCACTTCTGGTCTTCGTTAGGGTTGCTCTTTATCCTCTTGTTTATTCTGTATTGTCATGGATGGCTTTTCTAATATATTAGATGATGAATCTTTAGTTTCTCCTTTTGAAGCATGGCTACTGGAGGGAATAAAATATCTCACATTCTTTATGCTAATGATGCGCTTGTCTTTGGGAAAGCCTATCTTCAAAATGTTGAGAGATTAAAGGATATTTTTGAATAGTTTGCACTTTGTTCTAGCCTCTTTAATAATTATAGCAAAAGCTTGGCTATTTTTTCCAATGGTTTTACATATGTTATTGATATATGCAATACTTTGAATATTTCTCTTGCTCATAATGCTTTGAAATATCTTAGCCTGCCTATTTCTCCTAAAAGACTTACCAACTCTGATTTCCAACCTCTCTTAAATAAAAGTTTTGATCTTCTTATTTTCTGTAGATTAAAGTTTCTTTTTTTGCATATAGACTTCAATTTCTCAAGTTCGTTGTCTTCTATACTATTTTTTACTGGATTAGAGGACTATATCTTCCCAAATATGAATGTAAATTCATTAACAAAGTCTACTCTAAGTTTCTATTTCATAGTGATGCAAATTCGAGAAAAAATCATATAATTTCTTAGAAGTTTGTATGTCAGCCAAAGTTATATGGTGGTTTGGGGATTCCTAACATAAAATCCTTATATTATGGATTATGTTGTTCTCTTATATGGTGCATTCTCAATGACCAATGCATGTTGTCTCACTGTTAGGCATAATACTCATCTCTTTGGAAACTCCCGCCTCAACTAGCTTCAAAGTTGTGGAAGTATATTTGTGCCATTTTTGGGAATAATAAGAGAAATATTTCTTTCATTATATATCCCAACAGCCCTCTCTCCCTCATTTGGGACCCCTGGTGTTGTGGCAGGGCATTAATCGAGTTGCTCGATTATACTACTAGGTAAATTTTCAGTCATACACTATGGGAGACCTAGTTCTCCCTGGCCGTTGAAATTTGCATGAAAGTTTTTCTTTCTCTGTAACGTCTGCTGTTTCTACTATCACCATTACTTCTCTGTCGGATTCCTACATCTCATCAGACGGGGTTCTTTACTCGCCCTTTAGGACTTTTTATGCTTCATTTTTTTGCCGACTTACCACATGTAGACTGAAGTTCTTTTATTTGACATAGAAAGTTTGCCGTCTGTTTCTCTTGTCATGCCAGGATGGTTGTGATAAAGGGTTTAAAAACTTCTAACATTCTCTCTAAGCGCAATTTGCAAGTATCTCTTACATGTGTTATTTGCTCTCAAGTTGAGGAGAGCCATAATCACCTCTTCTTTGAGTCTGACTTCTCCTTCTGCATCATTTATTCTCTGTTGCCTTGTTTAAACACTTTCTTATTTAGGCCTAACTTACATCAAGTTTTGGATTTTATCTTAGCTTTATATATTGGGAGACATTACAACACCTCAAATAACCTAAGATACAAAGAACCAACAAGAACATCAAAACCAAAAAAATTCCCAAAATCTTCAAAAGAACAATCATCCATAGGAACCATAAGGCCAAATCTTCTACAGCTCCTCAAATACACTCCTATCCAAAAATCCATAGTCAGCAACAATCCTTAATAAGTTGATATAAATCCAATATGTATAATGTGTCTCCTTGTAAAAGCCAAAGATAAATCCATATCTCCAATTGTCCAACAGCTCCTCAAATATAATCCAAAGACCCAAATCAGCGCCAATCCATTAAGCAAGTCAATTTAAATGTTATCCCTTGAATAAAATACCTGCAAAGACAAAAAAAAAAAACCAACAGATAAAAGCACATAAAAGATAATCAAATATAAAAAAACCTATATAAATCAAATAGAAAACCACAACTATATAGTGTAATTAAAAGAGTAAATAGGCTCAGTAAAGTGTAGTATCTAAAACCTTATTATGGAATGCTCAAAATATCTCCAAAATAAAACACCCGACCAACCAAATACAACAAAAAAAAATAATAATAAAAGGAAATTTGTTGGCAACATTAATTGCTACTAGATTGTTTGCCTTCTTATTAAGAATGCTATTCTGACTAAAATTGCTAAGTGTAGTTCCTTTCATAACATTAACCATTTTATTAAGTGAGGTTGATTTTATTGGAGGGTGTTGGCCGATGTTGGTTCTCCACTGTCTTGTCTTTTTACTTTGCTGGCTTGATTATGATGTCTGATATCATTTTGGTTGGGATGTGGATGATTCTGCAATTACTCTTGCTGCTGGTTTTTCTTGCATCCTTAACTTAAAGTTCTTTGACTTGTTGTGGCTATGTCCTATTCTGCTTTTTGTGGCTACTATTTTGAGCTGATATGACCTTTAGCTATGGTGCTTTTCCATTTATTGGCCTTTTTATGGACGATGATGAATAGTGAATCATTGATTTCATCACTTGTTTGGTCGTCTTGGCAACCAGCTCTCATGACTTGGAAGGTCATCCCTGGC